ACGCAGTTCTCAACCATTCTAGAGATTTTTATTGGTTTTTGGTATAATTTAATAAAAATTTTAAACAGATAACCTTTCCCCCACCCCCAGATTAGTGGATTGTAGGTGTTACTCTTTCATACAGTTTTCTTTTCTTCCCTTTATTCAGTTCTTCCTTGGAGCCCATGCAACTTTCTCTAATCACATGTTCACACTGTATGAGAAAGGTGGGGCTTTGGGGCTTCCAGCAGATTGAGTCTGCCTTGGCCGATCTGGATGCTTCCTTTGGCCTGATGAGTACCCCTATTGCTGTCCCTGATGGGCGACCGGAGCGTTTTCCTTTGGCATTGGTGTCTCCACGGAGAATGATGACACGCAGCCAGGATGCCACATTTTCCCCTGGCTCTGAACAAGTAAGAACTTTTATTGTTTTCTTAGCTCCTAGTCTTAAGGGATGGGTCAGAGAATTCAGTCTTTTCAATATCAGAGATTTTCAGGATGGAGGAGGAGGCTTAAAGTCTCCTAAAATGGGTGCGCTTCACCTCAGAATACCATGTGGAAATCTTATCTATCATTGTTAAAAAGGCCAAATTCATAATTTTGTTTTGCAAATCTAATGTTTCTTTGGAAAACTCAGTAGTTCTGACACACCACTGAAAAATTCCAGAGGTGACCTTGGTCCTATTTCTTTTGGGAAGCTACAGGGAGTCTTAATTATTTTGTGTGTCATGTGTGTCATGGATCCCTCGGACAGTCTAGTGAAGATATGGATCCCTTTTCAGAATAATGTTTTTAAATGCATAAAAGATAAAAATCACAGGATTATAAAGGAAACAATGTTGAAATACAGTTGACAAAATTTTTTTAAAATACAGGTTCATAGACCCCAAGGTAAGACCCCTGCCCTAGATTAATCCTGCTTTGTCATGTTTGAAATTGTTTTCTTCCTGTCCTCTCTTCAGCTGGAAAAGAGTCCAGGTCTCGTCATCTCCCGAACACGGAGCTGGGACTGCTCCAGTCCTATTGATCGCCTTGAGCCAGAGGCTGCCAGCCCCACCACCAGAAGCCGCCCAGTGACCCGAAGTATGGGGCAAGGTGATAGCACTGGGTTGGAGGTGCCATCTAGCCCTCACCGAAGAGCCAAACGGGCACGCCTTTGTTCTTCTAGCAGTTCAGTAGGTCTATCATACTTATTTGACAGTCATAGCGTATAAATTGATGAAGGTCCTGTGCAGCCCTTAAACTTAAACTTGAATCCATTCATTAGACTTAGGGTCTGAACATAAACACAATATAGTAAGTATATAAGTAAGTAGTAAATATACATTTTAGGATGGATTCTGTGGAAGGCTTCAAGGAAGGAACTAATTTGGAAGCTCGGAAGGGAGGGATCAGATATTTCAGGCATATGTGTCAAAAAATAAATGTAGATTAAAAGGAGAGGAGTAAAAAGGACAAATAGACCTAGTTTATATCCAGCATAAGGAGTGAGCGGGTAGGGAAAATGTTAAGGAAACAAAGGGGAAAGTACATCATGGCAGATAGGTGACTTGGGGTGTGAGTGCCAACAGTTGTCATATTCTCTTGAAACTTTAGTAGTGCCTCTTTTCATTGCTGTGGCATTCCCAGTCTCTGATACTGTTTCTTTTTTTTCCCCCTTCTTCCCTAGGACACATCTGCCAGAAGCATTTTTGATCCTGTTTCGCAGCATCGAGACTGGTGCCCCTGGGTCAATAGCACACAGATGGAAGGAGCCAGAGAGGATAATGAGAACAAGTTTGATACGTGCACACCAGCAGAATCGGGCTGGAGGGCCGTGCTACACATCCTCTTGACTCACAGACAGTCTAACTTGCCATCTGATACAGACTCAATGGTGAGAAGCATTCTTTATGTGTGCATGTGCATATATGGGATGAGAATGGCAGAGACGGGGCCTATAAATAGCCCCTGTGGGCCTGTTGCTTTCTTAAGCCGAGCTATACTGTGTCTAGTTTCATCATGGAAAGAGAAGAAACTGATTGAATCTCTGTGATTTATTGAGTAGTCATCCATCAGGTTCCAGTTAATTCTCTGTGTTCCCAACTGGAATTGCTGAGGGTTCAAAAGAAGTACAGAAACAGATGAGCATCCAGCTGCTCAGGCCTCGTGTTGCCGAACAGCTGCTCCTTCCATTATTTGCTGTCCACTTGCAATTGAGACCCTGGCAGATTATCTTAGTTGTTTAGAGCACTGTGCTATGATGTCAAGGTCATGAGTTCATTCCTCATATGGGACAGTTAACTTCTCCCTGTTCCATGGTCATAGATTATACCCTTATCCCCAGGAAACAAGTGTGAATAATTGAGCACAAATCCATCAAAACTTCTTGGGGGGAAAAACTCAAAATGCATATGATCTTTGTATATATAGAAATTGAGAATTTTAGAATTTACAGTAATAGCAATTAAGAGACCTGGTTTCTTCTATTTCCAGCTCACTAACTAGTTTTCTACAGAGCAGATGATTATAAAGCCTGGAGCAAATAGTTTCTGACCTTCTTACAAAGATCTATCTCTGTAGAAAGGGCAAAATAATACATAAAAGCAGGTAATATTTCCAGGAAGTGTTATAGGGAGACAAAACCAATGCCATTAACACTCCAAACCAGAATTTATTGCAAGGGTATATGCGTGTGGAGAGTGATAACGACACCAAAAGCTCAAGAATTATAATAGCCCTTAATAACTCTGAACAGTGTTCCTCTAGATTGAAATTGCATTATTTGAGCTTTCTCCAGAAATTTTTTTTTTCAAAAATATTGCTATTTGTCTATTTAGTCTATACTTGAGTTGGAAGTCTTAAATATTTGTTCCAAATATTAAGTCATGGAAATAAAGCCAAGCCATCTCAGCTTTCTCTGTAACACTGTCTGCTCTCTTATCCTCAAGAAAAATGGCCTACATTTTCAGTGAAGGGTTCTGTTGGAAATTTTTATTAAAACCTACCCTCTGTTACCCTATATGATGAGAGGAAATGGTTTCACGTTTGGAACTGGATATGCAACGAGTAGCAGTTACAGAAAGGTAGATTTAAACGCATATACGGGAAATGTCCTAACAATGAGAGCTGTACAAGAGAGAAACAGCCACCTGGGAGGTATTCTCACAAAAAAGCTTCCATAGAGCTTAGGGGATCACTTGTTACCAGGATTTTAGGGGTTGGATGAAATAAATGGCCTCTCTGAGGACACTTCCTGTTTAAGATTCGATTTCATTATTGGAGGACCATAGGATTTGGAGTTGAAAAGGATATAGAGGTATTCATTTTACAGATGAGGAAAATGAAGCCCGGAGAGGTTAGTGACCTGCCCAGGGTAACACAGGTGGCAAGTGGCAGAGCCAGGATTTGGATACATCTTCTGATACTAATTCCATTGTCCCTTCCACTATACCTTACTGTGTTCCATTGTTTTAGTCTGTGTTCCTCCTTACTAGCACCTCTACTATGGTAACTATCTTTTAGGCAAGCACTTAATGGACTAATTATTATGGATAGCTTAAAGTCCTATTTTATAAACTGAATTAGGTTGACCTTAAGGGTCTGTAGCTTGTCAGATACTGCATGTTGCTTATGTTCTCCCTGGAGGTCCCACAACATGGAGTATAAGTGTTTTTCTTAATTTTCTGGATGGTCATTTGTTGGGAATGTTGTAGAGGGGACTCTTTCAGGAGGGATTGCACTAGATGATTTTTGAGGTCCCTTTTAAGTCTGAAATGTTGTGATTCCCAAGTGCAGAAAAGGCCAAATCTTCTGAGTCACTGGCAATGTCCTTTTTAGTGGTGTTGTTTTGTCTCCCTATATAATACTGTTTCTGGAGATTTCATACCATTTTGTTGGTGTGATCCAGGGACAATGGGATTTTCCCTGTTATTAGCTCTGTTTGCCTAAACATGATGCTCATAAAGACACAACCACAGGTTTGACTCTAATGAAGGCCAATTCACTTTACCCCCTGGCCACAGATTATATCAAGCTAACCTTGGTGAGCCATTTTGTGTAAGGGCGTGCCCTTGTCTGTGAGGACGACTTGATCACTGTCTGTCACTACTGTTAGAAGAACAACTCAGAGTGTATGCTTTACCAGTGGCAGAACACTGGTGTCATCTTCGCAGATGACTGAAAAGACACACATAGAGTAGATGAGAATGACTCACTGAGAAAGGAAATAGCTTCAGTTTCAATGATACTTCAGTAGAGTTAAACATGGCCAGGCTTTCTGATTTCCCAACTGGAATTCTATTTGCTCCCTATGCTCCCTCCAAGCTTTCAGCCCCAATAATTAACCAAATATTAAGTATTCAACTTGGGCACACTATAACTTTTATTTGTGGAAGAAATTCACTGGCTGTATCATGCTTTGTCCCTGTGGAAGGAACTAATCACCATTATTCATCTTTTCATCCCATAGAGTCTGTCTGAGAAATCAAGGAAAGTATTCCGAATATTCCGGCAATGGGAGTCTATGTGTTCATCTTGAAAACATTCCATCCCCTTCATAGAGAGAAGCAGAAAGAGAAATATGCCCTTGGACAAGAAAACCTGAACCCTTTTGGGATCAGTGATGCTAACAGGGTTTTATACAAGCTGGTAATCATAAGGGAAACCAACTGTTGTAAAAGGGAATAAATGTCACCCATATCCATCTGCCTGAGCAGACCTCTATCCGCATGGTTGGAGAAGAGTAGGATGTGACAGTCTTACAGGGGCCCTACTTTGGTTAAAAAGTATTACCATTGTAAGACTGCCCAGAACATCAAGGAGATGAGTGCTCCATTTAGTGCCTAGTGTTGGGGAGGGGGGCTGTGTTGGAATGGCTCTTAAATTCCAAAGGTTGTGAAGAAGTGTTGGGAGTAATAAAGAATTTCATTATGGTTTTTATTATTTCTTGTTGCTGGTCTTTTTCCTGAGTTGTGACTTTTATGTTAAGGAAGTGTAGACTTGAGAGCTTCTCATCAGCTCCAGTTCCAGCAACCATCCTGGTCCAAGGAGATAGACTGCATAGCCTAAAAACCACTTTTTTGTAGTTCTGTGAATAGAAGGTTTATAATCTGTCTTGGCCTCTTGGGAAATAGAGATCACCTTGTGGACAAGATAATTGATCTTTGACATGACACCAGGAGCTCCTGATATGTTTGTTATGTTGCCTGGGTGATAGTGTATAAGACACTTTATCTTTCTGAGTCTCAGTTTTATCACCTGTAAAATGAGGGAACCAGATTAGATAATGTCCAGACTCCATTTTGGCTTTTCAGGCCTATGATCCTAGCTTCAGCCCTAAACATAACTTCCGGTAGGCTTCTTATTTGGTTCTATAAAAGTTCTTGACTTGGCTTTTCTAGGAACTAAAATTTTAAAGTTATGTTTTTATTGCTATTTTTTGTTTTTACATTTTGTTTTACATTTCCAAATGTTTTCTTCCCACTTCCCCTGCCATACAGCCATCTCTTATAACAAAGAATAAAAAAAGAGGGGAAAAAAAAACTTGAGCAAAACTAATAAATAGCACATAGAAAAAGTCTAACATATGTAGTGTTCCACCCCAAGACCACTCATCTTTGCAAAGCAGGGAGCCAGTCTTGGTCACTGTAATTTTACAATTGTGCTAATATATTTCTTTTAAAAATTGGATACATTTTGCTTTGACACAACAGATACTAACCAATAAACACCCAAAGAACCATGAAAAACAGTCCATTGCTTATTAACAGAAGTTTTGTCTTTTAATTTTGATAGTATGGTACTAACAGTGAACTCTATATTTAAACCAGAGTTTTGTTGCCTCTCCATGTTGACTTTACATACATTGTGGCAATCATTTTGTATATTGTTCTTTTGGCTCTGCTTTCTTCGCTTAATATCACTTCAAGCCTTCTGTGTTTTTCTGAATTTTTCATATTTATTGTTCCTTACCATTCAGTACTACTCCCCTTACATTTATATCTTAATTTGTTTAGGCATTCCCCAATAGTAAAGAACAAACTTTTGTTTCTAGTTTTTTGTTACTATAAACAATGCTGCTTTTATTATATATACACACAGTCTTTTTCCTGCTGTCACTAATCCTGGGTTATATTCCTACCAGTAGATCTCTCAAAGGATATGAACATTCCATTAACTTCTTACACGTTTTCTAGAACTTGAATCATTCCCTTTTTGCTTGTCCCTTGGAGAATATAAATGCTAGTCCATCTCAAAGGCCACCTTTGCTATCGGCTCCCAGGAAACGTGCTGTAGGAGCTGACATTCTCAGGAATTCCTACTTTAAATCACAGCAGCCAATGTAGCATGTGTGGGGCAACCCCTCTCCCTGCTGTCTCTCTGTAAATTGATCTTCCATTTCCTTTCACCCTACATCACAGGATGGTGTCCTCTCTGAGAGTTTTAAAGCAGAACATCACAGAAGGTCATGGAATCCCTGGAGAATAAAGATGAGATTAGTAATATGGATAACTAAGATGACAGTGCCATTGTGTAGAATCAAGGGGTTGAACAAACTATAATAGTAAAATCAGCTCAAAAAGCAGGCCAGACTTTCTGCATGAATATCCTGCAACCTCACAGGTCAAAGTAGTACCTAGAAAGGCTACATTCACAGTCTCTTGTTCTGCTGGCTTTGCCCCCAATAGATCATTAATGGACTTAGTTGATGCTATTTCCCTGTTAAGTAAGGGCCTCTGTTTAATCAGCATACTTCTGCTGGGGCTGCAGCCACAAAACCAGAACCAGCCTGGTTAGGTGGCTTAGAGAGACGGCTTGTTTGCTTATTCCCTGAGTTGTCCCGCCCCTTTCCATCTCAGCAAGGAAAAACAGCTGCTCCTGAAGCCACAACCAGCAAAAGATATATAAACACTTTCTTCACTTCATTTTTCCTTTCTATTTTTAGAATTCTTCCTGCTCCAGGTTTTCCTTGGCTTGAGATAGCTGCTCTCTGGGTCACACAGCCCATGCATGCCTTTAGGAGTGTACACTGTAAAAGAAACTTTTTTGAAGGACTTTTGTTCCATTTTTATCCCTTGACCCATTTTCTCCTTCTGTCTATAGGTTGAAGCTTTCATAACCAACATAAAAGGACATTCAAAGTAAATAAGTAAATAAATACAAAGTTGAAAACATAGTTTGGTGGGTAGGGCACTAGCAGTTGAAAAGGATCAGGAAAGGTTTCTGTGCAAAAAGTGATACTTGAGCTGTGTTGAAGAAAGAGCAGTGTAAGGTAGAGGTGAGGAAGGAGTGTATTCCGAGCTTGAGGTTGCTAGCTGGTACAAAGGTAGAGATGTAGTGTTGTCGGATGAACAGAGAGAAGGCCAGTTTAACTGGCTTACTGTGCAGGAGAGAAGGTAGGTTAGGGCAGGGTTGTATCAGACTTTAAAAGCTAAATAAAGTTGACATTTTATCCTTGAGCCAATAGAGAGCCTCTGGAGACAGAGTAGGAGAGTCACTTAAATCTGTGCGAAGGAAAATTAACATGGCAGCTGTAGGAATGGCTGGAATATTGAAGGACCAGAGACAGAGACACCAATTAGGAAGCCATTGCAGTAATCTAGCTGAAAGGTGATGAGGGCCTGAACTAAGGTGGTAGCTTTGGAAGAAAAGAAAAGGGGTCAGAGAGACTGGGAGGGTAGAATGGTAAGATTTTGCAACTGACTGAATATACCATATGGGGTGAGAGTGAGTTTGAGAATTATATCAATATCATGAATCTGGGATGGGAAGATAATGCTTTTGACAGAAATAGGGAAGTTTAGAGGGGTCAGGATTTAGGGGAAAGGGTATAAGTTCAGTTTTGGGCGTGTTGAGTTAGAGATGTCTCTAGGACATCCATTTTGAAATACCCAGTAGGAAATTGGTAACATGAGACTAAAGCCCAAGAGAGAGCCAGGGAGCTTGAGATATAGATCTCTGAGTCATCTACATAAATATGATAGTTCAGTTCTCTAACAGATCCTGGCTGGTTGAGATGGCCGTTTTTTGCTGCTCAGTACATTTTTTCCCCCCTTTGGTGGCCATAAGCCAATGTCAAGGAGGTGGGGATATGTCCAACTGCCTCCTTTTCGCAGAAGCAAAACATTACACAGAAGAACTGGCCTTTCATCTGAAGTACCAAAACACACATGACGTGGTGAAAAGAGCCTAGAACCTTGAAGTCCATAGGCAAGGCATATAACCTCTTTTACCTTCAATTTCCTCGTCTATAAGATAGGAAGGGTAACAACTCTAGCAGGACAGCTAGGTGGTACAATGGGTAGAGTGCCAGGCCTAGAGTCAAGAAGACTTGGGTTCAAATTCAGCCTAACACTTACTAGTTGTGTGACCCTGGACAAGTCACTTAACCCTGTTTGCCTCAGTTTCCTCATCTGCAAAATAAGTGGGAGAAGGAAATGCTAAACCACTCCAATATCTTTGCCAAGAAAACTCCAAATGGAGTCACAAGGTCAGACATGACTGAAAAACAACTCTAGTACCCAGCTCACAGGATTGTGGTGAGGCTCAAATGAGGTAACATTATATAAAGCACTTTGCTAACTTTTAAGTGTCATCTAAATGTCAGTTGTAGAGGTGATAAGGGCTTGAATTAAGGTGATGCCACGGGAGTTTCAACATGGAAAGAAGGGGATGGATGCTTTGGAGATGAATTCAACAAGCAGGCAATTAACAAAACTCTCACTCTATGCCAGGCACTGGACTAATATGCACTAGAGATACCGAGAAAGGCACAAGACGGTCCCTGTCCCTGAGGAGCTCACCTTCTAAAGGGAGAGATGACCTGTGAATAGCTAGGTACATTCAACATGCATACAAAATAGGTGGCAGATAAGCTCAGAGGTGAAGGCACTATCATCTGGGGAAACCAGGAAAAGCCTTCTGAAGACAGCTGCATCTGGACTGAATCCTGAAGGAAGTCAGGCAAACAAGGAGATGGGGAAGAGGGCAAGTATTGCAGGCATAAAGGACAATCTGTGCCGGCCAGTAGATGGGAGATGGAGGTCAATGTAGCTGGTTTGTAGAGTACAGTGAAGGAAGGAAGGTGGAAGGAGACTAAGGGTAGGAGGAAGCTGGGTTGTGAAGGGCTTTCAATACCCAACAAGTAGAAGGGGGGAAGGAAATAAACATTCATAAAGCACCTACTATGTGCCTGCCATGGTGCTAAGCCCGACAAACATTTCATTGGATCCTCACAACATTCTTGGAAGGGAAGTGCTGTTACTATCTCCATTTTTACAGTTGAGTATACTGAGGCAAATGGAGGTTAAGTGAATGGCCCAAGATCAGGTAGCTAGTGCTGGCATTCAAGTTCTAACTCAGGTTTTCTAGCACTGTGCCACTTCACTGCCTCAAACAGAGGAATTTATATTTGGTCCTGGAGCTAATAGTAGCCACTGGCTTTTGTTGAGTAGGATGGCATGTTAGATATACACATTAGGAAAACTACTTTGGCAGCTGAGAGGATGATGGATTGGAGTAAGGAGAGACTTGAGGCAGGGAGACCAATTAGAAGACTAGTGCAACCAGCCACAATTCAAGAGGACTGAGGATGAAATGTATTACTCACCTCCTGACAGAGAGGTAATGGACTGAAGATGAAGAATAAGATCTATTTTCAGATACAAATGGGGGGGGGGGACTTGTTTTTCTTGACTATGCATATTTGTTGCAAAGGATCTTGTTTTTGTTTTTTTCTTTTTTCTCAATTTGGGGGGTCAGATGAGTAAGATGGAGAAGGGGAAAGGGATAAGGTAGCCTGAAGAAAAAAAAAAGGAAGGCCATTGAAGCGCTTTTTTTAAATGCACAGAAGGGAACAGAAGGAAGGCCAGAAAGAATCATAGACAGTGCACCTTTGAAAGTTATATGTTTCATTTATTACATATTTACAAAGAAAAAACAAACTAGACGTAATAGAGATCTCAGTTCCATACATTATCCTCTTTTTCTATTCTACAATGAGTATGGAAATGCTGGTTTTATGTGGTATTTGTTAAATTGAGAATAAGGAAGGGGCAGCTAGGTGGTGCAGTGGATAGAGCACTGGCCCTGGAGTCAGGAGGACCTGAGTTCAAATCCATTCTCAGACCAGACACTTGACATTTACTAGCTGTGTGACCCTAGGCAAGTCACTTAACCCCAATTGCCTTGCCAAAAAAAAAAAAAGAGAGAGAGAATAAGAAATAAAACTCATTTTTAAAAAAGCTATTACAATAGTTCAGGTAAGAGGTGATTAGGAGCTGAGCTAGAGTAGTGGTTTTATGAGTGGAAAAAAGGGCATGCACACACACACACACACATATACAAATATACCTGAAGGTATGAGATGTGAAGGTAGAAATGCAATATTTGGGAATAGATTGGCTATGTGTGATAAGTGAGAGCAAGGAGTCAAGGATGATAACTGAGGTCATGAGCCAGGGTGACAGAAGGGTGGGAGTACTTTCAACAGAAATAGGGAAGTTTGAAGTGGAGGAAGATTTAGAGAGAGAGCTGATCACTTCTGTTGTAGACACGTTTAATTTGAGATGTTGACAAGACAATCACGTGGAGATTGCTAACAGGTAGTTAGTTCTAAGGGCCTTGAATTTAGGAGAGACATTAGGGGTGTATATATGTTTATGTGTGTGTACATATATACATACACACATATATAGATAGATATGCATATATACACATATGTATGTAAGGAGATGTATGTTTATATGTATATATATGTGTGTGTGTGTGTGTGTGTGTGTGTGTGTGTGTGTAGGAGAGGGAGATATGTATATAGGGAGATATATACATATATGTATGTATGTATGTGTATGTATATGTGTTAGATTCTGCAGATAGATCTGTCTCCCTAATATTTATCCTACATATTTGTTTGTACGTATTCCCTAATATCTTTCATAGGAGAGATAGAGATATAGATCTATCTTCTATATCTATGTATCTCACATACATCCATATACTATATCCATCTCCCTAAAATGTATGCACATACACATATATGTATGTGTATATGTGTGTATATACATATACATATATATGTAGGAGAAACAGGGAGATAAATATGTAGGAAAATATATGTGTGTGTGTGTATGTGTAGGAGAGATAGTAAGGAGATAAAAACAGTATATGTAGGAGAGATGTTAGGGAAATAGACTATATCTAACTATAGATATAGGGAGATAGATCTGTATCTATGTAATTAGATATAGATCTATCTCCTTAATGTCTCTCTTACATATATATGTATATATACTATCTCTATCTCCCTAATATGTAACCATAAACACAAATATATGTATATATAAATGAATCATCTTCATGGAGATGATAATTAAACACATAGAAGCAGATAAGATCTCCAGTAGAAGTTTTGAGATGAAAAAGAAGACCCAGAATCTTGACCCTTGGGGGACAGAGACCTTCACTTGGGGGCAAGAGATGGATATCTCTCTAGGTGAGAACAGCATCACTGAAGCCAACAGAAGGGGGAGCATCCAGAAGGAAGGGCTGGTGAAAACACAGTGGTGAAAACTGAAGAGGGGTCAGTGAGAAGATTTGGAAGGTCACTGTGGGAAGACTTATCATTGTAATGGAGAGAGAGCACATACAGGGTTAGAATCAGAGGACCTCGGTTCAGATTCTAGTTCTGCCACACAGTTGCTAACTAGGGGGCCTTCGGGAATATTTGCCTTTTTATGATTTTCCAAGGCCACTTATACCTTAACAGCCCTATGATCCTCTCTGTCCCCTCTGTCTACCCTCAGTCGGGGTAGGGGAATACTAGAAAAGAAAATTCTGTAAGTTGTTTGATGCTGTCACTGTATCAGATAATTTTGATTTTCTGTCACAAGGGAAGGGGTGTGTGTATGTGTGTGTGTGTGTGTGTGTGTGTGTGTGTGTGTGTGTGTGTGTGTAGGTGTAGGGTTTTCTTCCCAGAAATGGCTGTGATATGATATGATATGTGTTCATAAAAGATCCTCTCTAAAAAAAAAAAGAAAGAAAAACACAGTGATCTTATGATTAGGACATGATACATGAGGAGGAAAAGTGACATTGACATTTTGAGTCAATAAAAGAGAGTTGGAAAGGAGAGTGTAGTTGAATTACAGTGTTATAGCTGGCAGAGCCCTTGGAGATCAACTCACCAGACATGCTTATCTTACAGAGAAGTGGAAACTGTGACCCAGAGAGAGATGAAGTCACTTGTCTGAAGGCACAAAGTCAGTCACAGCTCTCCTGACTCCAAGTTCAGAGCTCTTGTCCATCCAGATCTGAACCAAAAGGGGAAAGGAGTAATCATGGCTTATGAACTTCCACAAATTCTCCTGTCCATTTGATCCTATGATCTTACTGTCCATTGTTGGAGGGATGCCTGGCATTTGTCTCCTGAGTTGTATGGGAACAAGGAGTAAGGAGAGGTTTTGAACGAACAGCATTGACTGGTTGGCTGGGTGAGTGCACCAGCCCTTTGGACCATGATAATATAGCAAGAACTCCCATTTAGACTCTGCCTCAAAGTGATAAGTGGGGAAAAAAGTGATAAGCATGAGAGGGGGAGGAGGCAAAAACATTGAGAAGAGTCAGCAATGATGCCTTGCGTGTGATGGACAGTCAATACATTTTTGACAAATGAAGGTCACATCTCTGTTATAATGTTTGGTAAATGGTGATCAGTGGACTGACAAAGGTTGCTGGAGACCTTAACATCCCCATTTTCCACCCTTCAGGCATTAAATGTGTGTGTGTGTGTGTGTGTGTGTGTGTGTGTGTAGGATATATATGTGTATATACACACATATGCATATGTGTGTGTGTGTGTATCTTCCTGTCTCTCCTTTATTTTCTCTTTATACTAGGGATGTATACTAGAGACCTGAGTCATTTCTACTGATTGGATGAGAAGATATAGCAAAGAGTGAGATTAAGAAATGGTAGTTTGAAAGTTGCCAAATAACAATTGTGCTATCTGAATAAATGATATGTAAGCACTTAATAGCCTATGGTCTTCCTAACTTTCTTAGGTACCAAGAATTAATTCTTCAGTTTTTTTGATGGTCAGGGAAGGTATTTGTCTGGATCACACAACAGTGATATATGACTAGTTATAGGTATATGGTCCTAGGCATAGGACCATAGAACTTATCCTTCCCATACCTCAAACCTCCCCACTCCCACCACTTTAACTGAATTTCACTCCACAGTAGGACCTGGTATGTGAGCTGAGTCTCCTGGCAGTTAAGTGGAAATGGTCACTCTTACAAATACCAACCTCTTACATACCTTGACGGATCTATAGTTTCATGTTCTTGGGTATTCCTTCCACTTACATAGATTGAAGTCACTTCATATCTTCTTAACCTGCATGATTCTTTCCAAATGTTTTCATAAATCATCCATGGAGTTTCCATCCAAAGTGTTCAAGGCCTTCTTCTACTTTGTTGTTAAATATCTCAGTGGTACCAAAAGGGGTGCTCCTTGTCTTTCATTCTTGCTATGTGAGGCCTTCTTCTTTTTTGGATAAATGTCTCTGATGACATCTTTTATAATGCTTTTTTAGAATAAATCATTGCAGTTCTGGTCTCAGACATATAACACCCATTTTAACTGTGTGACTCTGGGCAAGTCACTTAACCCCAAACACCTCACCAAAAAAAAAAAAGAATAAATCATTGTTGGTAATATGCTTCAGTCAAATTATACCTACTATGTGTCTTTCCATTGCCTTTTGGGTTACTATAAAATAAGTTCTTCTTAAATCACAGTGTCCCATGATTTAAAGCTGTATAACATCACTAAGGGAACATTAGTATTGAAGATATTTTTCCTTCTCTTCCTATTAATTGAATATTTTAATTTTATTTTAAAATAAAATTTTATTTTTGATAATCTTTTATTTTAACATTGCCTAAATTTCTCCTTGTATTCCTCCCACTGTTCCCCTCCCATACAATAAAGAATATTTGTTTAAAAGAAAAAAACAGAAGAAGAAAAGAAAACAAAATCAGCAAAGCCTATTAATATATTGGGAAAAAAATCTAAAAACATATGCAATGTTTCACACCTGTGGACCTACTCTTCTCTGAAAAAGAGTAGGGGGAGGTGTCTTCTCATGTGTCTTCTTTGGGGCCATGTTTGTTCTTTGTAATTTCGCAACATTCACTTTTGATTGTTTTGTGGTTGTTCTTTCCATTTAAGTGGTTGTAATCTGTGTATATTATTATCTTGATTCTGCTTATTTTAGGGTGCATCAGTTCATGTAAGTCTTTCTATATAGTCATCAATCATTTCTTATTGTACAGTAATATTCCATTATATTCATGTACCGCAATTTGTTTAACCATTCCCCAATTAATGGGTTTCTACTTTTATTTCTAGTTCTTTGATACCCCTAAAAGTGCTGCCATATATATTTTGGTGTATATGACTACTGTCTTTTTATCAATGACCTCTGTGGTGTATGTGACTAGTAGTGGAATCTCTGAGTCGAAGGGCTTGGACAGTATAGTTGCCTTATTTGCATAATTCCAAATTGCTTTCCAAAAATAGTTGTAATTCACAATTCTGCTCACCATGTACTATGTGTCTGTCTTCCCTCAGCCCTTCCAATATTGACTATTCCTATCTTGTTTCATTTTTGCCGGTTTTCTGGGTGTGAGATAAAACCTCAGTTTTGATTTCTATTTCTATTGTTAGTAACTTGGAGAAATCTTTCATTTGATTGCGAATAGTTTGCAATTTTTTTGAGAACTGTTTGTTTATATGCTTAGACCACCCAACACTGTGCAAGACACTAGAGATACAAAGACAAAATGGAAATTACATTCTATTGGAGGAGACAACTTGCATGTATGTGTGTATATGTGTGTGTATGTCTATGTGGATATGTGTGTATCCATTTAACTATATCTATAAACTAGATACAAGGTGATTTTGATGGGGAAGATACTGGCAGTTTGCCTAAAAATTTCTCACCACCCACCATCCCTTCTAAATATCATCCTATGTCTCACCCCTTTTTCAAATCCAAAGTGCTAGGAAAAAGCTGTTTACATTTACCTCCATTTCCTCTTCTCTCAACAGCCTCTCCATCATCTATAGTCTGGCTTCCAACCTCACCTCTCAAATAAAACTACTCTCTCCTAAATTACCAGTGATCTCTTAATTGCCAAATATGATAACTTGTTCTCCATCCTCATCCTTCTTGACTTCTCTGCAGCATTTGACCCTGGGCGGGTAGAGGAGTGCAGTTTGGCGTGGGCACGCAGGCCCAGCAAACCTGGAGCAGGCCTCAGAGGAACGAATCACAGGCAGCTGTCGCGGTTTCTAGACTCCTCAATCCACGAACGCCAAAGACAACTTAGAAGGTCAGTGGGAAAAGTCTGTTTTTGCGGTGAGAGAAGAGCTAGGTCAGAGCCAGTTCCAGAGGGCAGAGCACAGAGGGCCAGCTGGGCGGGCTGCGTCCTGAGCTTCTGGCCCACAGACTGAGGGGGAATCAAGTGGCTGATCAGAGGGGACTGCAGGGATCTCTTTGCCAGTGCTGAGGCAGGAATCTCTTGCTTTGCCCATGCTTGGATCTGCGTCACAGTTCTGGGTGGCGGTCCTGGGTGAGGAGGAGCGCTGGCGGGTGGAGCTTGTAGTGGCGTGAGAGAAACCCTCCTCACAGTTCCAAGAGAGAAAAGACTGCTTGTGGCCAGTCACTCAAAGACCAGAGCTCAGGCCAGGAAAAGAGTAAACACCTCGACCCTTATCATACCACCTTGGAAGAACTGAAAATTTACAGGTCCCTACAAGTATCTCTGAAAACAGCTATACAAACCCCTGAAGCTTGGGACAGTACATTCTCCACATTGGAAGCAGACTTTTACCTTAACAAAGAGTTTAAAACTCAAGTAGTTGGCTGGGATCATGAGCAAACCTCGCAAAAAGAGTCAGACTATATTATCTTACTTTGGTGACAAAGAAGATCAAAACATACAACCAGAAGAAGACAAAAAGTCAAAGCTCCTACATCCAAAGCCTCCAAGAAAAATATGAATCATCCCAGGCCTTGGAAGAGCTCAAAAGGGATTTTGAGAAGCAAGTAAGAAGTAGAGGAAAAACTGGGAAGAGAAATGAAAGTGATGCAAGAAAATCATGAAAAACAAGTCAACAGCTTGCTAAAGGAGACCCAAAAAATACTGAAGAAAATAACACCTTAAAAAATAGCCTAACCCAAATGGCAAAAGAGGTCCAAAAAGCCAATGAGGAGAAGAATGCCCTAAAAAGCAAAATTGGCCAAATGGAAAAGGAAGTCCAAAAGATTACTGAAGAAAATACTTCCTTAAAAATTAGAATAGAGCAATTGGAAGATAGTGACTTTATGAGAAATCAAGACACAGTAGAACAAATCCAAAAGAATGAAAAATTAGAAAACAATGTGAAATATCTCATTGGAAAAACAACTGACCTGGAAAATAGATCCAGGAGAGAGAATTTAAAAATTATTGGACTATCTGAAAGCCATGATCAAAAAAAGAGCCTAGACATCATCTTTCAAGAAATTATCAAGGAAAACTGCCCTGATATATTTAGAACCAGAGGGCAAAATAGAAATTGAAAGAATCCACCGATCTCCCCTGAAAGAGATCCCCAAAGGAAAACTCCTAGGAATATTGTAGCCAAATTCCAGAGTTCCCAGGTCAAGGAGAAAATATTGCACAAGCCAGAAAGAAACAATTCAAGTATGGTGGAAACACAATCAGGATAACACAAGATTTAGCAGCTTCTACATTAAGGACGCAGGGCATGGAATATAATATTCCGGAGGGCAAAGGAGATAGGATTACAACCAAGAATCACCTACCCAGCAAAACTGAGTATAATCCTTCAGGGGAAAAAATGGTCATTCAGTGAAATAGAGGACTTTCAAGCATTCTTGATGAAAAGACCAGAGCTGAATAGAAAATTTGACTTTCAAATACAAGACTCAAGTGGAACATGAAGAGGTAAACAGGAAAGAGAAATCATAAGAGACTTATTAAGATTGAACTGTTTACATTCCTGCATGGAAAGATGATATTTATAACTCATGAGACCTTTGTCAGTATTAGGGTAGTGGGAGGGGAAAAATTATATGTATGTATAGTAGATAGATAGATAGATAGATAGATAGATAGATAGATAGATAGATAGAGGACAGGGTGAGTTGAAGATGAAGGGGTGATATCTGGAGAATAAAATTAAGGGGTGAGAGAGGATTATACTAGGAGAAGAGAAAGGGAGAGGTAGAATGGGGTACATTTATCTTCACCAACAACAAGAAAAGGTTCTTACAGTGGAGGGGAAAGGGAAGGTGAGAGGAAATGAGGGAATCTTATTCTCATAGGATTTGGCTTAAGGAGGGAATAACATACACACTCAATTGGGTATGGAAATCTGTCTTACCCTACAGGAAAATAGGGGAGGAAGGGGACAAGAGAGCAGGGGGATGATAGAGAGAAGGGCAGATTGGGAAAGGGGTAATCAGAAGGAATTTCTTCTGAAGAGGGACAGGGTCAAAAGAAAGAATAGAATAAATGGGAGGGCAGGATAGGATTAAGGGAAATAGTTTTTCACAACATGTCTACTATGGAAGTGTTTTGCATAACTGCACATGTATGGCCTGTATTAACTTGCTTGCCTGTTCAATGAGGGTGGGTGGGGTGGGAGGAAGGGAGAAAATTTGGAACCCAAAGTTTTAAAAACACATGTTTAAAAAAAATGTTTCCACATGCAACTGGGAAATAAGAAATACAGGAAATGAGGTACAGAAATCTATCCTGCCCTACAGGAAAATAGAAGGGGAAGGGGATAAGAGAAGGAGGGGGAGAGATAGAAGGGAGGGCAGACTAGGGGAAGGGGTATTCAGAATGCATGCCATCTTGGGGTGGGGGAGGGGTGAGATGGGGTGAAAATTTGGAATTCAAAATCTTGTGGAAGTGAATGTTGAAAACTAAAAATAAATAAATTTATATTAAAAAAAAAGGTGTGTCAATTTCCTATGGTCCCATTCACCATCCTTGAAACTTTACAAACCAAAATATCTTTTTCTGACCATCTCTGCCCTTTATATGGTCTCCCATTTGTATGAAAGCTTTTTGAAGGCAGAAGCTGTTTTAATTTTATATTTGTTCCTCAGGAGCTTAGTACAGTGTTTGGCACATAGTAAGCTCTTAATTAATGCTTTTTCATTCATTCATTCATGACTCAGCTCTGACACCATCATGTACCTTAAGCTGTTCTTGATCCCCTAGTTGCTAGTGTCTTGACTCCAAAAATTACTTTTTGTATATGTGTGTTATATACATACACATGCATATACATATTATATACATATATACATACGCAATATAAAAACATGTGTACATATGTAGCTACATTAGTGCTTCAGAACCCTGAGAATAAGTGGAGTCAAATCATTGTTCCCACTTTGAAAAATGTAAAATTGTGAATTCAAGGAGGACAATTCTGCAACTCTCGGGGCCAGGGGCCAGATGCTGCACTACCCAATAGTACCATTAGAGGTCCTCTCTGTTCCATGTACCTCTAGCCATGTGAGTATTTATTTGCCTGAATGCCCTGTGAGACTTCTGAAGTCTAAACCACCCCG